GACGTAGGATCCGGAGCTATCGGAAAGCAAAAAAGAGCCCAAATCGAGTGGCCCAAGGCAAGATGAAGGTGAACGTGCTTGGACTAGAAAGTCTATTGTACGCTCAGGGGAGTAGAAGCTTCCCTTCATGATTCTTTCAAGTTGAGGTGGGGCTGATCATGAATTATTAACCAGCTTCTTCACAAGCACTTTCCATCTTTAGAGGTCTGCCCGCCAATGTTCCATGTTTCAATGAAATGACTCGCCCAATATCGAGCACTTTTTACGTCCATTTGTTTTGCACGTTGTACATATACAATTCAGTCGGAGGTTGATTGGTTTTTACAAAGGTCAAAGCTGTGAAGCTTAAAAATACGTTCCTGACCTGACCTCCAAAACATTCAACAGCCATTAACTCAATGAGGATCAAGATTAGAAAGCGGGCGGGCAACTTCCCGCCCGTCGTCACTAACGGTTGCCTCCAGAGTTCGCTACCAGCCCGAGCCCGGGCTGCAATTCGCAGAAGCTATCATACCCCTGCAAGCCTCTGTGACCGCTGTAAGGCCGCCTCAGCTCAGGGGATGGAGCGGGCTGGAAGGCAACACCCGAACAGTTAAAGAATGGACGGATGAATTGGAGCTGGTGATGGAGCCAGCCAGGCCAGACATTACCAGCAGCTTCTACTATTTCTCTTTTGGATTGATTACACTTTTTCAACATCTTCAGCCGTACGTTCAATTGACTTTGACTCGATATCATGTTGAAAATATTTCCAAAATAACATCATATATCACCAACCACAATAAAATTGCTCCCCTATATCCCGATTAATCTGTTCCTTTCATGTCCCGGCTTGCCTCAAATAACCTGATAGCGTGTGCTGACACCCGACGGCTTTCCCCACTGTACTTTACCTGGACCACGGGCCCATTTACTTACGGCTTGCGCCTCTCAGAGGCCGGAGGTTCTTTTCGTATTTGGCACAACCATCTCCCCTGAAGCTGCTTCTACTCACTGGCCACTTCACATCCATTCCGCTTCCTGTCACCTAACCCGACCTCACATATCCTTTTCTACATACCTCCTTCTATCGCAACCTGGCCGGGCCACGGGCTAGTTGCATTTAATATCTGACCCCTCTCGAGTGTTTATCACTACGACGACCCGAAACGTTCTTTCGAGATCCTTACATTATTCGCCGCTGTTGCCGAGTGCGCTGCAAGCAACCAAAACTCTCTTTCTCCTCTCTACCTCTTTTCGGCACCGATCGATTCTACCAAATATGGCTTCACAACAGCTGCCTCAACTTAACATCGATCGCTATGTTGTGATTCATGTTGCGACCACCTGCGATGAGCACGGAGTTTATGTGACAAAGGACTCTGCGGAAGTTATTGAGCTCGGTTGGATCTTGATGGATGCAAACACGCTTGAGGAGGTGAGTCTCCATCCCGCTTTACGACCGACTGCACTTTTCAGGGTCTACAAGCACCTTGAAGGGTCCAAACGCTCTTTATGTGACTACCCGATTGCTAACCTCGATTGCTAGATTACCCATGAGAGCGTCCTTGTCAAGCCTGTTAACACTCCGATTACTCCTCTGTGCAGTAAGTTTTCTGACGCTACTACAAACCCATAACATCTCCATCTGTATTTGCTCCACGTTGTTCGATTCCGCCAACCACGCGCCGCTTGAACAACAATTTTTTCTCGATGCTTGCTTTTTCCGCAAAACACAGGCAGGCATTTTGACTAACGGAATATCTTTTACAGCGAGCCTGACAACTTTGACTTGGGAACATGTTCGAAACGCTGGTACCTTTAGAGACGCTATCACCCGATTCGATGCATTCGCTACCGAGCATTTGACCTCCAAGAACCTTGACTTTGTCTTCGTTACTCTCGATGCTTGGGACCTCCGTGTTCAGCTTCCTCGTGAAGCTCGCGATAAGGCTGTTGTCCTCCCTCCTTACCTACAGCACTCGCGCACTTTTGATCTCCGCACCGAGTACCAGCGCTGGCAGCAGCACCACCCCGAATCCCTGCCATTCGGACCTTCGATGCTCTCCAATATTTGCGCCGCTCTCGAGGTCGAGCCCGTTCAGTCGAGTGCACCCATCAAGCACAACCTCCCATTCCACCTGCAGGCTCTTGCCCCTGCCTCGCCACGACGTGCCATGGAAGAGGCCGTCACTCTTGCTCGAGTTCTGCGAGGCTTGATCCGAAAGTCCCAGCCTCCTCAGGAGCACCCGGATGTTCTGACTCGACCCATGGATGCTCGAGCCGATGTTCGAGCCTTCCTTTCCGAGAGGAGCAAGGTTCTTCACATGTCTGGTCTCCCCCACGATACAACCCAGTCCGAGCTTGAGAGCTGGTTCACCCAGTTTGGTGGCCGGCCCATTGCCTTCTGGACCCTTCGAACCCCTGAGCAACACAAGCCCACTGGCACTGGATTTGCTGTGTTCTCTTCCCACGAGGAGGTGAGTTTTTAAATCCCCCCAGCTTTCTTCTTGCACCAGCCTTTTTGCGATATTTGCGCAAACCCATATTGGCTCATTGCTAACTTATTGTAGGCTGCTGAGAGCCTTTGTATGAATGGCCGTGCCCTTAATGAGAAGGCCATTGAGGTCTCCCCCTCCTCCAGCCGTGTGCTTGACCGCGCCCAGGACATCCTGACCCCCTTCCCTCCCAGCAAGAACCGCCCTCGACCAGGTGACTGGACTTGCCCTTCTTGCGGCTTCTCCAACTTCCAGCGCCGAACTGCCTGTTTCCGATGCTCATTCCCCGCCGTCGGTGCTGGCCCCTCGAACGATATGGGAGGTAACAACAACAACTATGGAGGTGGCTTTGGTTATGGACCCCCCGCCATGATGCCCCCTCCTCCTCATGGTGGTCACCACGGCCCCATGGGCCATGGTGGCGGTCGCATGGGCGGCAGTGGTGTGGTGCCATTCCGTGCTGGTGACTGGAAGTGTGGTAATGAGGTCTGTGGCTATCACAACTTTGCCAAAAATGTGTGCTGTCTTCGTTGCGGTGCCAGCCGTGCAGGCGCTGCAGTTGTCGCTGATTCCGGCTATCCTTCCCCTATGGATAATGCGTCTCAGTATGGCATGAATCAGGGATCTATGGGAGGTGGTCCCGGCCCTGGACCTTTCGGCTCTGGCAGCTCTTACGGCGGTTCTGGTGGTGGTTACAACCAACAGCACTTTGGTGGACCTCCCAGTCACTACCTTCCCTCTGGCCTTGGAGGCGGTGCTGCGGCCTACCCCAGCTCATTGAACACACACGGCAGCTTTGGATCCGGTCCCGCTTCTCACTCTGCTGGCCCTTTTGATAGCCGAGCCGCTGAGGCCGCTTTCCAGTCAGCTACTAACGGACCTGCATCTGGCGGACCCTCTAACAACTTCTACAACAACAATGCCAACAACAACAACGGCGGCAACGGCGAGAACGACCCTTTTGCTTTCCTCTCAAGCGGCATTGGCGGTCTCTCGGTTAGTGGAGGCGATGGACGTCAGAATGGCGGTTCTGCTCCTCCTAACAAGTCACCTGCTTAAGCAGTGGCAATATTGCTGCAGCCAAGTCGCTGTGTGTATATGAATGCTGAAATCTTAGCACCACATATAAGGGCGCGGCTGTTCGTGTCACAGCTTTTGCGCGAAAATGACTTTGAATGATGCACATAGAAGGTCTATTGTTGGCAAAGCATTTGCGAATTGGCTTTCCCGAAAGGAAGCCTCAATGGTGCGTGTATTGGTTTCGGAAGATCAGGTCGGAGCGACGGATGCTTGATTCTAAGACGGATATGTTACAAAATCTCAAGGGTTGGAAGACAAAAGTGACTTGATTACTCGCCAATGTCAAGGGCTTGCTTTCTTTGGTGTTGACGGTCGAGTCTATACGGTATGGACTTTTGTTTGCTGGGGCCGCTGTCTGTTTTATATTTCACAAGCCCGGAGGCGACAGAGTCTCGGGTTCGACATTTTTTCCATCTCGACATGACGGTAGGGGAACACACGGGGAGTCATTGATGTTGTCGTCTCTGGGCTTCATGGGACGGTGGCGGTACTACTGGAAAATCGGTTACGGGGTTGGGTGCATAGCGAAGGGGAGTGTGTAAGGGTATATTTTGCTTGGCCTTTGTGACTCAAATATCCAGTTCGCCCGTGTCGGCTCAATACTGAACCCGACAACAAACTAACTGCTTTTCTCTGTTACTCAATCTCTCTCATCTTTGCCCCTGTTTTTGCTTATGCTGTTGTCGTTCATTCTTTACATATTGTACGAGTTTGACCTTGTCTTTCTCAAAACTGTTTGTTTGTTTTGGTAATCTCTGCATGTCTTTTACCCTGATCTTGGTTTTTGCTTGGGACGCGCAGGAGCTGGGGAGCCTGGACGGAGTGGCCAATATATAACTTTGTGCTACGGTTGGGAGGAGTCGGGGTGTCAAAAGGGGCATTATGCCTCAAGGATTGGCCAAAGCTGCATCTTTGTTTGTTGCTCGCAATTGATGGCATGGTTGTTACCATCTTGTTCATCTTTCCCTTTCGAACCTCATTTCAACAAGGTTCTACTAGGGACCGCAGCTGTGATCTGCGAAGTGAGGTTCAGAGGGCGGCATTAGTGACTAGACGGTATAGGCTGGATGGTTAGGCTGTCGGAGGTTATCATATTTCATTTCTGCATATTGTATTTCTTATCCTCTCCTTGAATTTGTCGCCTTTCATGATCGATAGGTAATTCTTTAGATATGAACTGTTACTGCTTGTCACTGTACCTCCCATACTATAGGATAGCATGATCAGAAGAGTGCTTTGTCTTTACAACTGATTCTTACAAGTGTATATATATACTCACTCGACATGTAGATTTGATGAGTGGGTATAGTGAGATGATTCTGGCAAGACAGAAACACCTACCTAGACTAATGCATGGGAATTTGTTGCTGTCACACCGTTCATGTCCACTCATCTCATTCAGTGAAGCAACACGATATGTCCTACACCTGCAAACCCTCGAACTTACTGGCCATTATTGATGAGATCTTCATCATCGTCCGCGTCCTCATTTTCATCCTCAACACTTTCATCGTACTCCTCATCCTCGTCATCCGCAGTGTTTTCATTGCGCCGGGCTTCGGCAATGTCAAGCTGGTTTTGCGCAAGCTCTTGCGCATAGGTCTGCGAAAAAAACGTCTCGTTTTCACGGCCAGGACCAGTTGGGTAAGGGCCCGAGTTTCCATCTTCCATGTAGTCATGCCATGCTCTGGCCTCATCCCACTGTTCACGGGTCACTTGCGGGTTCGAGTTGATGAAGAGTTCAGTGATAGTGTTATTCCAGTCCTCTGCATTTTCTCCAAACGTGAGGAGCGGACTCTCCTCTCTGGTGTCATCGTCTTTGTCGGCGTCGGCTTTCTTTGGGTGCTTTCCAAACAGGGAAGGTAAACGGTAACCACGCTCAATTTCTTCGTTTATATCGTACTCGCGGTCGTCTTCTGAATCGGACTCGGAACCGCTCTCCCATTCTCCACGCCAGTTATACTGGCCTTCTGTCGACCACGCCATACCTCGCAAGCGCTCGTCGTTGTCGTCTTCTTTGATCTCCTCCTGTACCTCTGACGAGAGCTCGTTCCAACACTTCTTCAAAGCATGCTTGCGCTGCCAGAAGTATGAAGTGTCGACTCTGCCCAACTTCTCCTCTTCGTCTGAAATGTACATGTCGTCTTCTGTAGGAACGATGTTCTCTCCTGTTTCGAAATCGATGTAACCCCAGATCATCATCTGGGAAATGTGCTTTTCGAGATCAAGCCCACGATAGGTCGCTTCGATGGGAAAGAGCTCATCAGGGCGTGAAAGGTGACGGAATCCTTTGCCCCAGCCTTCCATGTGGCCAAGACCAACCTGTCTGATAGGGACATTGTACGCCTTGGGGTGGTCGTGTAGTAGGATGTTGGTCCAGACACTTCGGGGGAAGCGCAGGTCATAGCGTGTCTTGAGCTCCATGAGCTCTGAGAGGTTCGTGTATCTCTGTTTCATTAGCAGTTGCCACAAGGGATGGAGCCCTTTCTGTCCCATCATGAGATGAACCATATCAAGTTTGATAGGATGGAAGAAGGGGTGATTAAAAGCCATGGCGAGCTTGACAAGAAAGAACTGCACATTATAGAGGTGCTGGTCGGTCCAATACTTCTCATTTCTGAGAAAGAGTTGTCTCTGGCGAGTAGTCGAAATCTCCATGAGCACCCAGAGTCGCAGCAAGGTACTGTACATTGATTCAGGCATGAGGAAGCCCATGCGGGCCATCATGGCGAGAATCTCTCGACAACAGCGCTCGCGAGACAAGACCATCTTGAGATACCTGAAGCCAGGGATCAGGCGGATGCTTTTGGGGTTTAACTTTACGCTGTTCCAGCGGGCCTCGAGATGCTGCGCGTTGTTTACCGCGGACTTGCGCTCCTGGGGATCCCTGACCAGCATCTTGCCATAGAGTTTCCAGTGGAAGACCTTTCCAGCTTCAGGCGATCTACTGTCAATCCACATTCGAATGCAGGACAGCATATGGCCATTAACCGCTGTGCGAAAGGAGCGGCTAGCAATGTACAGATTGACGATGTCTTGTGGTCGTAAATGCTTACCGATCTCGATAGCTAGCTCGAGGTTGATGCAAAGGGCAGAGATCATATCGAGACTGGCGTGCTTGAGACTCAGGGTAAGCTCGTTCACCTCGTCTTTCTTTTTATCAGCTTCGTAGGGGTCTACGCCGCCGAACATGCCATCGATGTAAGCCCGAGAGAATTTGAGTCTTTTGTGCGGACCTGAAAGGTCTTCGTAATCCACGACTGAAACATTCGGAACGCTGTTCATGATCTCGTCTTCATCATACTCTCGAGGGTCAAGACCCATATCCTCAAGCTCTTGGTTTGTTCGAGCTTCGCGTTTGACAGCTTCTTCCAGACGTTCGCGCAGACCATCAGTCAACATTTGTAGTTCTCGCTCCGGGGCGTTGATAAGCTCGTCTCCAGCTGAGGCTCGGGCCCGAGAAGGAGCCAGAGGGACAGCCGTCGGCCGAGGGTTGGCAGCAGTCTGCGGGACGTTGATAGCGGCTGCTTGTACATTGGAACTATTGGGAACATGTTGAGCTGGGTTATTGGCAGTTGGCTGTGCGTTCAAGGCACCAGGAGGTGCATTGTTCGTCAAAGGTGGCCCGCCACCTGGAGGAGGCGGGTTGGAAGACATAGCGAATGTCAAATAAAGCGGATCAATATTGAAGTATTCTAAAGGATAGCGTCAGAATAGTGACAATATTGGTGGTGACTGGATTGTAGTGAATGAAAATGGTGTTGCGAAGAGAAAGGTCTCGGGGACGCTGTTGATAAGAATCAGGAAAAGTTGCCAAGCAACCATATTAAACAATAAAAAGAACAGAAATGCAAACACCAACAATAGCCAGGCGAAGGGTCACTAGCAGTGTGGTAGAAAAATAATCCTGATGTTCGACAATAAACGGCAGTGCTTGCCATCTGTCTGGTAGTCTCAGGCACTGGCAATATATCAAGCAGTGCCCCTCTCATTCAATGTTAGACGTAGGTAGTGAATACAACATTTTTAATTAAGATCCATGGGGTAGAAAGTTCTGATGTACAAATCTTCGTCTTTTTCAGCCTCCAATCTCACTGGGTTTATACATCTTACGCTAGGATATATTGCTTCTCATCGCCGGTGGCTCGCTGTCTTTCTTGCCACCGGTTATAGAGCTGCTGCGTCTCCTCATCCTATGAAGACCGGAACTTCAGCACGAACTTCCACCTCACCTATCGGTCGAGCTCATCGACAGGCAAGTCGCCGTCGTCTTTACCCACAATGGACTCGGCTACCTTCCAGATCTGCAGCAGATTGTCTTCCGCAGCACTTGCCACGAGCCAGGGCTCATTGGGGTTCCAGCTGAAATCAGCAAGATGGTTCGTGTGACCACCGTGCATGAATAGCCTGTTGAAAGTTAGCTTCTATATCACCCTCATAAGCGCTATCGGTGTAGTCAAACATACAATTCAGGGGGGCCATCATCCTGGTCATCGGGCAATTGCTCTTCGCCGACCCTTGAAAGGTCCCAGAAGATGATTCTTCGGTCGTAACTGGCACTTCCCAAGATACCAGCTTCAGTAGGGTGCCATGCTAGAGATGTGACAGCATCGTTGTGGCCCTCCAGAGTGTGCACCTTCTCCTTTACATTTCTGAGATCCCAGATGCCGATTGTCTTGTCGGCCGAAGCAGTAGCCACGAGCACCTCCGAGTTGGGATTGAAAGCCAGAGCGTTGATTGCATCAAGGTGGCCACGCTTAGCGACAACTGCTGCCTTGTTGGTCTCGCTGTGTCGTACATCCACAATTTGAAGGGTCTGATCGTCGGATACGGAACCGATGAAATTCTTGGAGATTGGGTGGTATTGGACATCGTTGACAATCTGTGTATGGTGCCTGTAGGTGCGAGAAGGGTTGAGGATTCTTGAGTCGGCCTTCAGGGTCTTCAAGTCCCTGCGATGTGTAAGTTGAGTGTTCTGGATATCTACTACGGGTACTTACCAGAGACGCATCGTAGTATCCTCACTGCCTGACGCTAAGCAGCCTTCCTCATGAGGGTTCCAGTTCAAGCCAAAACCTTCGGCTTCGTGTCCGACCAGTTCAATTTGGGCATTAACCTTTCCAGTTGAGGTAGGGTCGAGAGGGTGCTTCGTTCGATCAAAAATGAGGATCTTGCCGTCGATGCAAAGAGTCGCAAGGATATCGGGGTTCTGAGGTTGATATCGAGCCTTGTTCACTTCTCCAGGATGCTCAATTCTCTGAACAATGTCGCACTTGATGGCGGCGACATCACCAGACTTGCCATAGCCGCCGATCTCGCCTCGTTCCTCATCATAGTCGTCGGGGTTAGGCGCCACTGCTTTGGGAATCTGAACGTCGGCGATCTGAAGGTAGTTGGGGCTCTCATCTGAGGTGTGTGTGCCAAGCAGGAGGCGGTGAATTCTGTAGTTCTTGCCCTCGGGCTCCTTGACATCGGGGAACCACTGGACTGTGAGGGTAGGCCAAGTGAGGGCCGTACTACAAGCAATGTTAGATTGAGATTTTCGGTCATAATTAAGGTTGCGACTTGCCCTAGAATCATGTCGTACAGAAAGGGACTGTTCTTCTTCCATGTCTTGTACTCTTTTGAACATTAGCCTGCTGGACAGCATTTTCGTCCCTTGTGGCTGGTCCATACCTTCATTAATGAGGCGCTCTCCTTGATCATCCTCTTCATCATGGATCATGTCGACTATGATTGCGTAAGTAAAACTATTTTCAAGTTTGTCGTCTTGATTCGAATGCAGGCGCACGCAAATCCAGGTACAAGTTAACTTACCGTCCATGTCGTGCTCGGCAGACGGAGCAGGTGCCATGATGGACTTTTTTATTATAAGGGCTTGTTTGTAAAAGACAAAGGCAAAAAGAAAAAGGTGATTTGCGGCCGAGTGGTTGATGTTGATAATACTAGATTGTTGGTAGGAACAAAAGTGAGTCTGCGCGCGGCTGAGAATAAAGCAAGTCGCAACGCGTTGATGCGCAAAAGGCTGAAAAGGCGCGTTAAGTGACGGAACGCTCACACCCATAGCAACCGCAAGTATCCGCTGCGCCACATGGGAAGTGGGAGAAGATGTGGCTTAAGGATGTGTACCCCACAAATTGCACATCTCTTTAGCCTAGCAATTGACTCTGAACAGGCCTCAAGGTATCAGAAAAGCTGGCCAACTGAGGCATCAAAGACGAAATTAATGTGACAGTTTGTTGCAATTAAACCAAACGCTTAGGTCTTTTATTTTTGTACCTTAAATCTCAGAGATGGACTTTCCTGTTACCCGCCGGACATGGCGGGCCTCCTTAGGTGGGGAGAAAGATACTCGCTGAGTACTTAGATAGAGCCTATCGTAACGGACTATGAAGCGTATCTGTGATGTACAACAGGAACCCCTCCATGAATCGAGTTCCTGCCAGGCTGAGGTCCCCACCTTGTCAATCCAGCTCTCAAGTTCCATGACTGCTGGATTTCCATCTTGACAATAACACGATTCGTCGCAAACTTCACCTTTCCCGCCTCCCAAACCTTCCCAGAACCCGACGATCCCCTACGACTCCCTTCATTTCTTTGGTATTGTAGGGAGCGCTTAGTACCTCGTCTCGCATTATATTGCAGCATTGTTGTCTTCGGTTTGTTGGCGCCACGTTGAGTCACCATCCGTCTTGTCTTTTCCTGTTGCCACGGGATTTTCTACGTTTTGCGCCCAGTTTTTAGGGGCGATCTGGAGTTTATCAACTCCTATTTCAGATAAGTTTCGCATTTTTGAATCTTTACGTGGACTGGAAATTGTCCACTGTCTTTCAACATGGGGTATGCTCTTCTTCCTACTACTCTTCTCAAGTTTTACAAGCTGACTCTTCTCGTCACAGTGTCCCCAAGTTCTTCAGATGGCTTTCCGAGCGATATCCGGCCATCTCCCAGCTCATTGCAGAGAACCGAATACCCGAGTTCGACTGTCTCTACGTCCGTTGCCTCAAGTCACATGCCGTTCCCATATACTGACCGTTACCTAGCTCGACATGAATGGTATCATTCACAACTGTACCCACAAGGATGCAGGAGAAGATGTGTCCTTTCGTCTTAGCGAAGAAGAGATGTTTATTCGTATATTCAATTACATTGAACATTTGTTTGGAAAAATCAAGCCCAAACAGCTGTTCTTCATGGCTATTGATGGTGTTGCACCGCGAGCCAAGATGAACCAGCAACGTTCCCGACGTTTTCGAACAGCCCTCGATGCTGAGAAGGCCCGTGATAAGGCCATCAGTGAAGGCGTCGAAATCCCTAAGGAGGAACCATTCGACAGCAATTGTATTACCCCAGGTACCGAGTTCATGGCCAAACTATCTCAGCAATTGCGATACTTTGTCAACAAGAAGGTATCCGAAGACACTGACTGGCAAGGATGCGAGATTGTTCTATCCGGCCACGAAGTCCCTGGTGAGGGAGAACACAAGATCATGGAATACATTCGAAATGCCAAGGCCCAGCCGAACTACAACCACAATGTTCGGCATTGTCTTTACGGCCTTGATGCCGATCTGATCATGCTTGGTCTTCTCAGCCATGATCCCCATTTCTGTCTCCTTCGAGAAGAGGTAACGTTTGGACGGGCTTCCAAGACGAAATCCAAAGAGCTTGAGCATCAAAACTTTTATCTTCTTCATCTCTGCATTGTGAGAGAGTATCTAGAGATGGAATTTCAGGAGCTTGGAGAGGAAGGGGCTCTCAGTTTCCCATTTGACCTCGAAAGAGTTATCGACGACTTTATCTTGATGGCGTTCTTTGTCGGAAATGATTTCTTGCCGAATTTGCCCAGCTTGCACATCAACGAGGGTGCGTTGGCCAACATGTTCCGAATCTACAAATCTATTCTTCCAAAATGTGGCGGATATATCAACGAGAACGGAGTTATCAACATGGAACGACTGCAGCGACTCCTGGGCGAATTGTCCAAGACGGAGATTGATGCGTTCGAGGGCGATGTTTCAGATGAGAAATGGTTTGCATCAAAACAGATGGAAAAGAGACTTGAAAACAAGAATGCCGAAACAAAGGCGCCTAAGGGAAGTCAGCTTGTCCTCACTTCAGCGCAGCGCGACCTGTGGAAGCAAAAGATTCGGCCGTACATCTCAAAGCGCTCAGACGAGCCGCTAGATCTCGGCACCAGTCTAAAAGCTGCCGACCGCAAGTTTGTTCAGGATTTGGCAGACTCGATGCATCTACAATGGTCTACTAAAGAGGACGACGAGGGCCATCGCCATCTGATTGTTTCGTTCCCACCTAAGAATAATCACGATGATGACGAAGATGATGACGAGGAGGAAGGTAACCTTGCAGCTTACCGAGTAATAAAGACTTACGACAAGGCTTTGGTCATTGATTTGACAGCCGAAGATGCCCAAAAACAGTATGAGAAGCTATACCAAGATAAGTATCAGGGCTGGAAGACAAAGTATTACCTCCAAAAATTCGAGGAGTGGGCTCCCGACAACTACGACAAGGAGCTCACAGCCCTCTGTGAGAATTACGTCCAAGGTCTGCAATGGGTCTTGTACTACTACTACCGCGGTATAGCTTCGTGGCCTTGGTTCTACGGATACCACTACGCACCTCTTATTTCAGGTGAGTTGCCTGTTACAATGCATACTCTAGAACGTATGGCTAACCTGAGACAGATGTTGTTAAGGGTGTTGGCGCAGACCTAAACTTCAAAAAGGGCCAACCTTTCTTGCCCTATGAACAACTCATGGGTGTCTTGCCTGATAGAAGTAAAAAGATTGTCCCCAAGGTTTACCACGACCTCATGACGAACCCGGATTCGCCCATCATTGATTTCTATCCGCGCGACTTTGAGCTGGACATGAACGGAAAGAAGATGGATTGGGAGGCAGTCATAAAGATTCCCTTCATTGACGAGAAACGCCTATTGGACGCCATGAGGCCCAAGAACGACTTGTTGGAGCCCGATGAAAAGGCACGAAACGGATTCGGTGTGCCCCTCAAGTTCACATATTCGCCCGAGGTCGACTTCGTTTACCCTTCCCCATTGCCCGGTGTTTTCCCCGAGATCCAAAACTGTCGCTGCATCGAGAATATATTCGATCTTCCTGATGTGGAAGGACTTGAATACTTGTCAGGATTAACTAGTGGTGCTTTACTGAACGTTGATGCTTTGGCTGGTTTCCCTACCCTCCACACTCTCCCATATACTGCACAACTTGTCGAAGGTTATGGCGTCAATGTATTCCAGACAGACAGCAGAAACCCAAGCGTATGTGTTACTCTGACCGGGACGGAGAATCGCACCAAGATCGAAACTTGGAAGGCGAAACTTGGCCAGCGATGCTACGTGGGATACCCATTCCTCCAGGAAGCCAAGGTCATTAAAGTGCAGGATGAGCTCTTTAGCTACGAATTGGCCGACAATGGGAAAGATGTCATCACAAGAGACCACAACAACCGGGAGGCTGCCGACTGGGCCAGGGAAGCTGATTACATCGAAAATTGGCACGCCAAGCGACTTGCAATCACCATAGGGCAAGTCGAGTGTTTGGTGTATGTCCATATGCTCAAGGGCCTCATTCGTACGGAGGAGGGTGCCCTGACCAAGGAGTACGCCGAAAATCCCAGTCTCAGGAGTACATATGCTGCGCAAACCATCGTTGACGAAGTGGTCAATGAAGACGAACGATTCATTGAAAAGGAGGCGTTGCCCATTGAGGAGGAATTCCCTCGAGGCACTCGTGCATTCTTCCTTGGTGACTACGCTTATGGCCGTCCCCTTGAAGTTGCCGCTCACACAGGCAACAAGGCGGAGGTTGTCGTCTCAGTCCTCAAGAACAAGGAGCAAGATTTCGCAAAGCAGATCATCCATCAAGCCGAACGCTCCAATCCTTACACCCCGTCATTTGCTGTGGCTAAACAGCTGGGTATTCATCCTCTCGTTCTAAGCAAGATCACTTCTTCGTACCAGATCATTAACTCTGCCGGACTACGACTGAACTTGGGTTTGAACTTGAAATTTGAAGGCCGAAAGCTCAAGGTCTTGGGCTATTCGAGAAAGTCTCATACAGGCTGGGAGTTCAGTGGAATGGCGATCAAATTGATTGCTGATTACATGGTCGCCTTCCCCGACTTCTTTGCTGCTATTCAGAGGGAACCACAAAAGAGCGAGGTCCTTGAGACAGATCTCTGGAATGATCCCGCTGTCGCTTCCCAACGAGTCAAGGAGATCGTGGCTTGGCTCAAGAAGCAGGAGACTAGCAAATTCGAGAGGGTTCCTCTGGAGGCTGAACAGCTTGACTCCGAGATTGTCAAGGCATTGGCTCATGTCGGTGAACAGGTGCATGCTGCTTCTTCAGAAATCGAGATTAAGAAGTTGCGTAGCGTTCCTCGTACGGCGCTCCTTAAGCCATCTGACGCGGAAATGGTGCTCGGCAGCCAGAACTTTACTCTGGGAGATCGAGTTACTTACGTGTCTGCTGCTGGCAAGGTCCCCATTGCCACTCGCGGAACTGTTGTTGGTATTAGTCGTACTGCCACTGCCCTTCTTTTGGATGTTGTATGGGACACTTCTTTCATGAGTGGCACCACGCTCAACGAAAGAGCCCCTGTGTTCCGTGGCCAGACAGTGGCATCATCCTCAGTCCTGAACACTTCAAATAAACAGGTTGTGTCAACCACCAGCAAGTCACAACAGCGAAAACCAGTCATTGCTACGCATGGTGGCTATGCGAACGTTGGGGTTACTCAGTACAAAGATGCACCAGCCCCTGGCCCTCTTCGCGGTGGCTGGAGTGGAGCGCTGAACGGCAACAACCCGCAAGGACGCAACTCTCCTGGACGTGGTCGAGGTAACGGTGCTCGCGGAGGTGCTCCCAATCTCATGCACAGCACCTTGGTTTACCGAAACGGTCCTCCCAACGGTGCGGCTCAAGGCTATGATACCAACGGAAATGGCACCCGAGGCAGAGGAGGTCGTGGTCGCGGCCGTGGCAGCCACCACGGTTCTCCCGCTCCTGACGGTGCTCCCCAAGAACAGATGTATGGTAACGTTCCACCACCTGCCAGTCTCGATCAACCCCGAGGCAGAGGTCGTGGTCGAGGACGTGGAGGTAGAGGTCGCGGAGGATCTAATCGTGGACGAGGCAACGGAGGACCCAGTGGTAACGGCAGCCAGGGCTAGATGACCAGTAGCTTCGTTATAGGATGGCGGTACTGGTGAGTGATCTCCTGTGATGTTACGTCTTACGACCTGTTATCGAATGCTTGCATTTTTTGCAGAATAGCCAGCGTCGGGATAAAAGTTGTGGATGTGAAGATTGTATTATAGATGAAAGCTAGATACGTTTATCACGAAGTCACGAGTGGGAATGGATTCTGCGACGAATATGTTTCTCGAAAATTGCAAAGAGAACCGCCTTATACCGCACATTGAACTCTATTTTTCACTTCAAACACATACTAAAACTGGATAACCAGCCTATCTAGTAGTTCTTCTTTGTAGTATCCTTCTTCTTCTTGATCTTGATTGCTGGAAGATTGAACTTGGGTGACTCGCCATTACCCAGAGCCTTCCAGTGACCAAGATCGCGGGTCTGATCCCAAGTAAGAAATCCAACCCAGGGCTGAACATTATAGTGCAGCTTGAGCTTCACATCCTCTGTCGCTGCAACCTTACCAGTAGGGTGGGTGATTTGATACTTTGGTTTCTGGTTCTTGAGGCCAAGGAAGCCACTAATAATGATGTGAGATTGCGGTCAATATTTACAAAGGCATATGAACTTACCGGTCGGGGTCGATTGTCTTTCCTTCAGCGCTGCGCTTGAGCTTCTTCATAGCAACAGGTCCAATGTTCTGGAGATGGTCGGCGCTGGGATTCGTGATGATCTTGTCCCAGATAACAGCCTCGTTGGTCGAATTGTTGGGTCCAGGCCACTCGGCAGTGACATAGACAAAGACTTGCTTAGTGTTCCATGTGAAGAGGCTTCTCAGGTCGGCATCCAGGTCGAATCTAATAATTGCGTATTCCTCCTTCTTGGTGCTGTAGTAATGCGGTCGGCCCTTGACACTGATAAACAAAGGACAATTAGAATCTTATTTGTGAAATTAGAATAGGCAGACTGTACACTTGAGAGTTTGAGACAGTAAAGATACCAGCATCGGGGGCACGAGGGGCTATGAAATCCGAAGCGGCAATGAAAGCTGCGACAACGAATGCGACAGTGGTGAAGAAGCCGAAAGTGTTCTGGATGCGGGTAAGAGAGTTGTACATAATGGGCGAGTATCTCAGCTGCCTATGCAGCTTTTGCCCTTTATCTTGAAAGGATAGGAGAAAAGAGAGGTGGAGTTTGGAAGACGGACGTTGGTGATGTCGCGTCGTGGTGTTGAAGACTACCTTTCACCTAAAGCTACTGGCCACGTTTTGGGAGCTGTCTTTAGCTGGTCAGCGCTGGAGCTGTGGCGTTTCAGCCTTGTGACTGGACTGTGGGGTCTCTGTCCATTAAGACCTCCAGCATGTTTTTGTATCCAGGAACTCCAACTATCCCGGGTTTGAGAAAGGCTAAAGAAATTAAATACTATACAGTTAGTTTACACAATAACGTCTTATGCTGGCATATATTTCCATAGTAGTTTGTAGGTCGTCGCCGTAAATATCAAGTTATCTTTGTAGTTATGCTTTCTATTCTCCAACAACACGAACCCTGCGAGGCTGACACTGTCAGAGCAGTCACAGCCAAATCGCACTAAATTTCGCGGCACATCCCCACTAGAAACAGGCCTGTGAATGGTCTTGCTTGAGATGTTCGAACCTCGACTGTTCAAACCCGATTTTCGTCCTTCGCGATTTTGCTCGTTGATTTCCTTAATAGTTCTTTCTTTCTTTTGCCCGCGATATTTTACCGTTGTTAGGACATTTTTAGTGGCCCGTCGGCAGCTAAAGAGTTCCCGAACTCTCCACTCTGCTCAAGCTGCATCTACGACTGGCAGAGAAGATCATCCGCCTTCCAGCCTAACGCATCGTGAACTGTCCAGGTGAAAAACTGGAGGCCCACGCCCAGTCTTTGTCTACAGGGCACCAGAGGAGGGCAAAGGCTCGATGGGACTGCGCATTGCTCTTTCCTTCTCCCCAAATCCTCTCTGCACTCTGTCGCGCCGAGCTCAACTCTAATCGATACGGTTTAGTCCTCTCGCACGCTATCATTCAACCGCCAACTCTTTCCCGGACTATGGGTATGCTTCCTGCCCACTCGAGTGATAGGATAGGACACCCCTGCTGACACCCTCTGGAGCTCTCCGGGTGACGAGGCAAAAATGATTAACTCACGGATGGTTAGTTTTTTGCCATATCGCGCACTTTTGGCTTGATACTTATTCCTAGACAGAGAGCGATCAACGACCAAAGACCACGAAGCTCCTTGAAAATCGGGCAGTCTTCTCAGACAGATCGAAGCGACACATCTCGAGACGAACGATCGAACAAACGAATCAAGAAATCCGGTCCTGAATCACCACGCGCATCTCGCTATTTTACGAGTTCACGTCTACAACCTTTGGAAGCAATCGAGAACGACAGTGAGCCGAGTGCCAAAACCCCATGGCACCACAACTTGACCCGAGAGGACTCTTACGTGGAAACTATTGGCGGTTCTAGTGTCATCAGCAGCAGCAACCTGACTACGGCAGCTGGCAGCCGCGTGCAAGAATACCGCAGCGTGCAGTGTAGAAGTACTGTAAAACGGAGCCGACGCAGGAGGAGAGGGCCTCGTAGGACTACTTTATCGCCTGGTGAAAGCGACGACGATACAGTTGCTGTTGCGCATCGAAATATTCCTCCTCAACAATCTCCCACACTCACAAGTCCGGACTGTTTGTCTATGAACATCAGTGATGCCCCCCCACATGCCAACATTTCGTCGGATCTTCCCCTACAATCAAAGCGACCAGCGGCAAATTATGTTCAGAGTACACCGAAGCGATACAGGTTGCACAACGATTCCGAGGACGAGCTGGCAAAGCCCGGCACTTCTACGGGCGGAGAGGCTACCACAAGGCCCACCAGTGTTACAAAGCTACTGGCCCGGTCTCCCCATTCACGAACTCGACGAGGAGATATTCAACCTACCAATTTCGGATCAGCCATGGGGCGCCGAAATTCGATACACAGTGGGCCGAAAGTTGACGGAGTACTGCTAGTAGCTGCGGCATGTGGAAGAAGCACCTGGTCCGCTGGGAAGACAGATGAGCCCATCACGTTACATCTTGATTCCGGCCTGGCTCGCCCGTCTCATCAAGATGGACAGACTTCATCATGGCTTGAAGTCTCCAAGAAGTCGATCCACAGTGCTAAACACAGCAATTCGAAGAGCCCCATTATTTCCATCCATCGCTCAAACACAAATACGGCCATTGGTGGTAAGCTTGTGTTAAAGTTTAGTGACATTGCGAACGCCTCTATCTTCATTGCCTGGCTGCATGGAGTTGAGCATTTGAAAGAGGTCAGCCCGTAAGTGCTTCCCAAATAGCATTAGTTCAACAGTTCGAAGAAAACTAACTGGTCAAAGGAGCGATTTGGAGAGCATATTCTCGATTGCGATGGGGGAGGCCAAATCCTTTGCGTCTAAATCAAAGAATTCCCCGGTCCCAATTTCACCAGTTCCTTTCACGGCAAACACACCCAGACCACCTCAGTCTTCACATCGAGACCCATTCAAAGGAGAGCCCATATCTCCTCGGCGTCCAAAACTCAAGGATAGAATGCAAGGGGGCTTGCCTATTCTGCAGGAAGAAGTGAAAGAAGAAGTGAAAATGAAAACAGAGGATGTCGAAGATCCATTTCTGGAGTCAAGTCGGAAGCGCAAGCCTGAGACCCGACAAACAAGAAAGTCTTCCTCAGAACCACTCCCTCTTTCATGGACGGCTCAGAACCCGGGTTGGGACAAGGACTGGCACAGGTCCTTGGTATACCCCTCAACCGGAAAGAACCGTGCAACTGTCGACAAGGAGGATATCATTCGACTAGATGAGGGAGAATTTCTCAACGACAATCTCATCAGCTTCTATCTTCGCTACCTGCAGGTCCAACTCGAAAAAGAGAGACCAGAAATCCTGGAAAAGGTATACATCTTCAACACCTTCTTCTTTGAGAAACTGAGATCCAATCGCGCCAAGATCAATTATGAAGGTGTCAAAGCATGGACTGCCAGGGTCGATCTACTTTCATATGATTATATCGTGGTTCCAGTCAATGAGAATGCACACTGGTATTTGGCTATCATCTACAATGCCCCTCGTCTCCTTCCCAAGGAGGTGAAAGCGGAGGTGAAAGCAGAGGCGTCCAAAAAAGACGAATCTTCAAGCCTACAGGATGCAATCATTGTTGAGGATAACGACCCAGCAGTGGACGTCGCAGAGAATGTTTCTGTCAAGAAAGCGTCGCCTGTTGTATCATTAGATCATGAAGTCCCCAGATCAACCAGAAGCCAGGCAGCGACAGGTAATGGGGTTGTTCTTTTAGATGACGAGACTGTCAAGAATCCAGAGGCCCCCACCAAAACTAACAAGCGAAAGTCGACCGGAGGAAATCAGAAGTACAGCACTGAAGAGCCCAGGATCATCACTCTCGATTCGCTAGGCGCCGCACACGCGGCAACCTGCAAATGCTTGCGCGACTACCTAGTCGAGGAAGCGAAAGATAAGAAGGCCATTGATATCACGGACAGGCCTGGAGGTATGACTGCGCGGGGTATACCTGAACAAGACAATTACTGCGACTGTGGTGTATACGTCTTGGGTTACATGGAAAATTTCCTGAAAGATCCGGATGAGGCTGTTCGAAGACTACTTCAGAAAGAAGCTAGTCAGTGGGATATCAAACCTCAGCAAATTCGTGCCAAGGTGAGGGACCTTCTCTTCGACTTCCAAAAGGAGCAACATTTGCGGCTTGAGAAGGAGAAAGACTTGAAGAGAAAACGAAGGGCAACAAAGGGGCCTGTCTCATCACCACAGGTTGCTCCATCCTCACCTCAAGTACCCCCGAGAGCCCCAGAAACACCACAAGCCAACCATGGTCCGAAGAGCACGTTGGCGAATGACACTATTCCTGCAGAGAGTGATGAGCCTCCTCAAACAGATACTACCTCGGCATACTTTACAGTTGCTTCTCCCGAAGAGCCGGTTTACCCACAAACACCCACAAGAAATGAAGATCCTTCCTTCGTCCAACCTTTGAGGGAGGGCTCGAGTAATGATTCTAAGATCTCTAGCTCAGGGGACGTCTTTCATTCAGCACGTTCATCCCCGGTCGACACCGCACAACAAGTGCTTCCTGATCTGACCACTGAAGGTCATCCGCCGCGTGATGAACGAAACAGGCCAAAGCCACCCTCAACGCCCAATTTTGTACAGAAGTTATCGGAATCTCCTGAAGAGGCGGGCCCAGCACCCATCTCTTCCACTGTAAAGATACACAACTCGCCCTCGGTTGCTTTGGCCACGAGACAAGGGGCATCAGCATCACCAGCCCCAGGTAGCCAGAGTGTTTTTGGTGGAGAACGAATCGTTATGAAGAGCATCGAGGATCCCTCCCCTAGAGAGCGCCAGCATAATATGGTTGAGCGAACCATCGATTTGACGGGATGAAATTGTCTGTCTTGATAGGCGGCATTGTGTTGTACAGTCTTGGAAGAACAAAGCATTATGGATAGAGGTCTTAGGGCGATAGTTTATAAGGAAGGATCAACATCATGTCAGGACAGGCACCAAAGGTAGTGATGCACATAGTAGAGAAGACACGTCTAGTGAAAAGATTATTAAAGTCTATACCCATCACAAAATTTTTCCATTTTAACACCCGACTCCTAAAGGATCACCAACGGATGTTAGACCTAGTTCCCCGATGCTAATGATATATAACAGGTGGTGTGAGTCGCAGTCTCCGCCACGTCTATTTGTGGTTGTATCAAATATCTATTACGCTTCTTCATTCATCTTGCTCGGCGTCTGAGCTCTCGTTCGTGCCATTCACCACCATCTGCCGTTGTATCCGCGGGATCTCAAACACGACGCCTCCGTTGCGCCCGATCTTTGCTGGTGGGTTCCATCTGCCTAGTCGGTGTTCCTTTCCAACAGCCACAACCACGCAAAGACCGTCTTTGCCTCTATCGCCGCGCTCAAAAAGATCGATATCGTTGACAATGCCGTTGATTGGGCCCTGGGCGCTCTCCTCCATCGACTCATTTTCTTGGTCTTCAGGCTTGGAGAGAACTCCGCGGAACTCAATCTTGCGCTTGTCCTCGCTGAGTTGCCAGACTCGGATGTGGCCATCCCAGCTACCAGTAAGAATAACGTCGGAGTAAGGAATGGTTCGGATGGCGGTAATCCAGCGGGGTGTGGGGTGTGGTACGACCTCAGGATCGGGGTCCTGCTCGGCCGATGCCTCCTTGGGATCCAGGGCTGGGTCGATACCATGCGCGATGGGCTCAATGTACACAGGCTTCTTCTTCTGGACACTCCACAGTGCAAGTGCGCCATTGTCAGAACCAGTCACAAACAAATCATCGTCAATCATGGCGACACGATCCATGCTACCCTCATGGAGCATGGAGCGCGCATTCACGCCGCTTGGTCGAGACTTCTTGTCGACAGCACCACCGCGGAAGACAAGCTGTGTCTCTTCGGCGACCTTCCACAAACGCGCAGTACGGTCTCGGGCGCCAACACTGACACAGCGTTCTTGCGCGAGAGCATCGACGTCAAGGATTTCATCTTGATGGCCAAATAGCGACTCGACATAAGCCATCTCGTCCAGACTCCAGACCTTGACTGTACGATCCTTGGAACAAGAGTACAGCTGATTCGTCCCCCTGCGAAAGACCAGTCCAGTAACGGAGTCTCGGTGATGTGTCCAGACCTTGATAGGCTTGAGGGTATGGGCGTCGTAGATAATGAGCTTGTTGTCTGCACCTCCAGTGGCTACATAATTACCATCAGGAGAGGCTGCGACAGCGAGGATGCGGTCAGTGTGACGCTGGTAGTTTTTATCCTTTGACTTTCTTGTGTCGCCCTTCACCCAGGCTTCCAAGGACGGCTGCTTCTTCGGGGGCGCCGGTGGCTTCTTGGGCTTTCGTCGTGTTGTCTGTGGGTATTGGTATTGAGGGAGGTCTTGCGCCTTCCATTTGTGTAGGTATAAGTCTTTGGTGGTGGTGTAGATGTATGGGTCGCATACGGCGATGGCGGTTACGGCGTTGGTGTTGCTTCGGAAGAAGGTGCGCGAGACGTTGTCAAAAGCGAATTCCGAGGCCAATTGACGGTATACTCTACCCTTTCCCTCTGCTACATCCTCCTGAAGTCGCTCGGCGATCAAATCTCGGTCAATGTCGGCGGCGTCGAAACCAGCTTCGTCCACGTGCTCCTTGACGTTCTCGAGATATCGCTCTGCTAGTCGCAATCTCCTCTCCGCAGCGGTCTCGCCCTCCTCATCATCGGACTCGTTGTCCTCCATTTCAGCATCGCTGGCGACGGATGCGCTGTCGAGGCTTCCATCGTCGTCTGAGTCGCTTCCAGAGATAGACTCGTCGTCTCGCTCGACTCGCTTTTTGGTGGGGCCGGCATTCTTCGAAGGTGCCTTTCCAGCAGATTTCGAAGCAGCAACTCTCTTTTTTGGTTGCTCTGAAGCCTCGGGGCGCTTGCGCTTCTTCTGCGCGCCTGGTACTGTGAAAAAGGACGACATATTGGAACGTCGCGAACTTGGCTGGCTGTTCACGACTTTCACACTCACCTTGAAGATAAATTTCTAGGCTTAGAAAAAAAAAAAGTTGAGCGACAGTGGATCACGGAAAATCCATTGAATCCTTGTAAGTCCAACTGGCAAATCAGAAGCCTACAGATGGGTCCAGGTTTTTCCGATTTTGGCGGTGGAGATTGGCATAATCGAGTCCATTGTGAGAAGGAGCTCCCGGGTGAGCGTTGACGCGCGCAGCTACAGCCTAACGGGAGCTTGATTCACTGTACCTTCAACCTTCCTTGAAGAAGGCTGAACAACTAACTACCTTGACAACTCCTCCACAACACCACATCTACTTCCCCCACTACACACCACACTATCGCCAAAATGTAAGCTATATCCATTCTGTAGCTACTACTTAAAGGGTACTGATATTCTACGACAGGGAGATACTCATCGGAATTACTGGAAAGGACTTCACTATCATCGCAGGATCCAAGGCTGCGATGCGAGGTGCCACTATCCTCAAGACATCTGATGATAAGACTCGAGCTCTTAACAAACACACCCTCTTGGCATTCTCTGGAGAAGCCGGTGACACAGGTATTTCAACCAGCTTGCCAGTGACGGCAACCGCCTGTCGACTGGCCCCGCGATGACGACAGCTAAATAGTTCCTCAGTGCAATTCGCCGAATACATCCAACGAAATGCCCAGCTCTACTCGATGCGAAACGAGTCCGACTTGTCACCCTCTGCTCTTGCCCACTTCGTCCGCGGAGAGCTCGCTACCAGCTTGCGATCTCGAAAGCCCTACAATGTTAACCTCCTTATGGGTGGTGTTGACCCCATTACTGGCAAGCCAGCCCTCTACTGGCTCGACTACCTAGCGTCGCTGGCCGAGGTTCCTTATGCTGCACATGGCTACGCCCAGTATGTTGCCCCCGAAACCTGTATTCCAGAGAGACATTTGATATGAACCAACAGGTCTGGACCAATGCTGATCTATGCTTCTATAGGTACTACTGCCTCTCCATCCTCGACAAGCATCACCACCCCGATATCACTCTCCACCAGGGCATCAAGATCCTGACGATGTGTACCGACGAACTAAAGCGGCGCTTACCGATTGATTTCAAGGGCATGGTGGTCAAGGCGGTCAAGGCAGATGGGATTGTCGATATTGAGTTCGATGACGACAAGGTGGTCAAGTGTGCCTAAGAGCCGTCCGCAAATAGAAAGGAAACATGAATTTGTATTACTAGATGGGGCTTGGAGGTTGATGCTTACATCAAGATAGTTTCCTCCAGCTGGTTGCCCATGACATCTTTACATCAGTCTACATGATGTCAAAGTCCCCCGACGGCATATTAAATTAAAATCCAAGTTACAGCCGTCTTTCACAATTCGCTCCACGTGCAGGTTACAGCGGTTGCATAGCAAGATAGCTTCTAAATAAGAACATGTTTAGCTTTTTTCCCCCAGTTGCCTTGAACATCTCACAAAGATCATAACTGTTTCTTCGATGAATACTACAGCTTCACCATTGCTCTAAAACAAATCCTATTAGATTTCTTGTCCGACTCTACTAAAGCTTTCGAATACATTCAATATCAGTTGTCAACCGCTAAGTTACCATGAATACATGCACGCCTTTCAAGTAGCAATGCATATTTGACACAAACAAAATGGGAAAAGAAGGCATTGGATAGTGATCCAAGACACTGGAGTGCCTACACGGCATTCATGGTAGTTTGTGTTTTCTCCAAACACCCCATAGATGCGTCTTCGTCATATCAACCAATCATTAATGACATTTCAGATGAACTGAGTAGTATCGACATGGCTTGGTGCTGACATCTCGATCTTGGGTCACAATCTTACAGCCAAGCAGCCGCATGATAAGTCTAGCTCTATCCGATACACACACTTGCCTAACATATCAACATCAAAGTTGGCCTGCAAACAACAGTCCAGGTGTACATCTATCGTATAAGGAATGCCGAGGGACAAGCTGTTGTTGGAGAAATATTCCCGTATTCTCAGTTAGTATATGTGTGACACACGAGCTCAATCAACAGGGATACGGATGTAGTAGAGAGAGTGGCATCCCGAGTCATCACAAGGTGCATTACATGGCACAGTACGTAAGTATTCGTTCGTCACGCTTCGATTCTAGATGACTCAAGCAATTTGGGGACACCATAATTCACTAGAATGGTTACAAATTCTAGAATTCAAAATCATATGGGTCACAGTTGTATGCCCATGAGGTAAAGCATGAGGTCAGTCCAAGGTGGCCTACCTGAAATCTGAAATGTGATTTCGCATATTACCCAGATACTCACTCGAGATACAAACACGGTACGTGAAGATCTCGGTACACGAAAATTTCCGAGGTATATACTATGTGAGAAAGCATTTTGATATGAAATCCACTGGGCATCGATTTATGGACTTTGTGGGAGACATGGGCTTTATTGTTGAGCGCATCGTTATTTTATCTCTACTCCAGATCGTCCATATCCCGCTTATCGGAGATTTCCCGCGATACGGATCCATTAGGTTGTTGTTAGCTGTAACAGTGCGTCCAAATTTGGCTGAGCAAGCTCAGGGTCCTCATATCCCTGTAGGTGATGCTTGCAGCCGTTGCAGGCCCCCCAAGGCTCGAGAGCAAACTGACGCATTTGCTGTGTCTGCAATTGTTTTGAATCATTCCATTTGATACGCTTGTAGGCTTGTTGAGGTTTGCCAAGTCGCAAGCAATTTTTTTGTTTGATATACCTATCTACTATTCTGTCTTCCGTCCGGGTCAGTTTTACATCTGGCCCGGTAAGACACTCCCAAAGAGTCAAAAGTTTTCTTGTTGTGTCGTGCTGCCAGTTGCTCGAAGTCAATGACGTTAAAGTTTATTGGAGGTAGTCAATTTTTATCTTTGATTACCTATTGAAGTTTTCACTCTTCTAGGAGCTAGGTATCTATCGTCTTTATTCGATAACGTTTTCAATCGCCGCGTCTGAATAACTCACCGTACAATATCAACATATCGTCAAACAACATATCGTCATAGGAGGTGAATGGTTGCTAGGAGTCCTACAGAACCCACCCAAGTAGCCACCCCAGCTCCATCAGCCGCCCCGGAATCTGGGCTGGTTTGAAGTCGAGGTACCACACAAGTACCTCAGCTTTAACACTGATTAAAATCGCCCCTTGCCGACCGGGGCTTGGCTGGAGTCCTTGCTCAAACACGGTCTTCCACCAGGATTCTCCGCCCTTCTCTGAATCCCCACAGTGAGATAGTTAGCCAGTTTGTCTTGTCCAAAAGTGTCATTAAAATTTGCGTGAGATGTGATAAATTTTATACTTTTAAACGGGTAACTGACATACCTACGAGATAAGAACTGTACCTTTCGTTGTCTTAGAATATCAAGTTTGTGAATGTTGATGTATTGGTAATCTGTGCGCCCAAAGTTTGCCTTTTCTCTTCTCTCCAGACCCTCAAGGTTCAGGGTCAGACTTCAACTTTCACAAGCTTGCAAGGAATCTCTTACAATCAACTAGCGCTCGCCTTAGAGACTAATTTTTTGCGAGAAGCCTAGAAGCATATCCTAGCAGCCAAGGTAGCCCAAAGCAAAATCTGGTTCTGACGTATTTCCCAGCAGCAACGATTCAGGACGATAATTTTATCCAGTCAGAAGATATCAGATTTATCTAGCGTCTTCATCGTCATAAGTACCAGGTCAGTTCCTTTTTCAACTTTTCTGCCCAGCCACAGCATCTCTTTGACAGGCATTCTTGTCTTTTCCTTCAATCTCACTGGCCGCATCTGAGGTGAGCGGTGGCCAAAAAATACTTGTCAAGTACTTCAAAGCTTATATCACCCACTCACGGGCTTTCCTGACCCACTCTTACTCTAAAGTCCTCCCACTCGCCCTCACCGCAGAGGCAACCCCCTCCAAAACCTTGCCCCGAAGTACAGGCCCGCGCTAACCCTGATTGGGTGCAACTCCAACCAATTTTTTTTCTCCCACTCTTCTTTCGCCTCTTAACTCTGTCCCTTTTCTTCCCTCTTCTTCCCACAACAAAACCCTTATCTCACAAACTTCCCTTCATCCTCCCCCCTCATCCGTGTTATTTTCTCAACACTCTGTCTTTCTTTCGTCTTTCCTTTGAAGATTCTGCGTGTTCTTCGAGGGATATTTGCACAGCACTGACATTTGCTTGTGTCTAAAAGTTATCATTTGGGAAAATTATTGGAAGCGTTGGTCTTCCGTTTCTTTCTCTCGTTTTTCCTGTCTTTACTTTCGACGGGAATTTCACCAAACACGACTACTCTCTTTGATAATTTTAGAGAGTTTATCTGCCTATTTCGGATTTCACGCGTCTTTACGACCCGACTATCTCTACAAATTTCTCGACCCGAAAACCGAACGTAAACATGGCTGATCAGATCAACATGGGTGGCCTCTCCCTCAACGATGGCGGTCACCAAGGCCCTCCCCAGGGCGGTCGATCCTACATCCCTCCTCACATGCGTGGCCGTGGCGGTCCTCCTCCCTCTGGTCCCCAAGCTGGCCCTCCCGCTATGAACGGTGGTGCTCCTCCTGCTGCCGCCAACGGCATCAACAACAGCGCCTGGGCTAAGTAAGTCATCCATCTACCTGCATCTCAGTCAGCTTTTTGTCATCAGGCATTTACTAACCTCTTCACAGCCAGAACTACGGTGCTCGCCAAACCAACTGGAGCAACGATGCTCCTACCTTCCAGGGCAACAACAACCGCCGAGGCGGCTGGGGCGGTCGAGGTGGTGGCTACAGCGGTGGTGGCAACTTCGACGGTCACTCTGGCGGCGGCGGCGCTCCCACCGCTCGTGGATCTGGTGATGGACAATGGCGCGACGGAAAGCACGTCCCCGGCCCGGCTAACCCCCGTATCGAGCGCGAGCTTTTCGGTGTTACTGCCGAGGACCCTTCCAAGCAGCACACCGGTATCAACTTCGAGAAGTACG